CTGCTCAGAGCAGGCAAAGCTCAGGTGTCTGAGTGCCGAGGTGGTGTGGGCTCAGCTGTGCCTCAGGTGATCAGGGGCTGCAGGCTCAGCATTGCAGACCTTACAGAGACCTTACACAGAATTAAGGCCTTACACAGTGTCACAATTCTGTGCATCATGGACACTTGTATTTAAGTCTAGAACCTGTCAGCTTTTTATTCATTAGACCAACTCTAATCTGAATTAGCTTGGAAGTCAGTTCTGTTATCTTTGATTTGGAGGAACATTTGGGATTAGGTGGTGGGTTTGGGGGGTGTGATATCCTAAAATAAGGGGGCACTGCAGGCTGCTCTAGGACAAAAACTACACTGCAGCCAGGGGAAGCCTGTCATTTCTATTCTACAGGAAACATTTTCCATTTTGTGCTGATAACTCCAGTAAGTTTTTAGCACTTTACCACCACCAGCACCGACCCTTCCAGCTGAGCTTTTTTCCTTCCTCACCCTGCTGTGTGTTTTTAACCCAACAGGAAGCAGAGATGCTACGCTCCATTTCTTTCCACCCTTCTGGGGATTTCATCCTGGTGGGGACCCAGCACCCAACCCTTCGTCTGTACGACATCAACACCTTCCAGTGCTTCGTGTCCTGCAACCCCCAGGACCAGCACACGGACGCCATCTGCTCCGTCAACTACAACGCCAGCGCCAACATGTACGTGACAGGCAGCAAGGATGGCTGCATCAAACTCTGGGATGGGGTCTCCAACCGCTGCATCACCACCTTTGAGAAGGCACACGATGGAGCTGAAGTCTGTTCTGCTATTTTTTCCAAAAATTCCAAGTATATTTTGTCCAGTGGGAAAGACTCTGTGGCTAAGCTCTGGGAGATATCCACTGGTCGGACGCTGGTGAAATACACAGGTATGTAGCAGGTGACGTTCCAGACACCTTCTTTTCCAGGTGCTGAGCTGTGGTAGGGCTGGAAATGCTGTCAGAAAATAATAATTCCTAAAGGCAATGGAGAAACTGCTGCTTTGAGGATAAATTGCCCAGGATTTTAAAAAATATTTCCATTAGACCAATTGCAGAAGAGAAGCTTGAAGCTTCTGTGTGTCAGTGTAAACCTATTTTAGTCTGAGTAGATTTTGGAGAATTTTCTGACATCATTACTCCATTGTTCTGGAGGGAAGTTATCACTGAATTGGCGAAAAGAATACTGAAGCTACTTCAGGGCACTCGATTTAACCATTAACTCTGTGGCTCTATAGCCATGGTAATACTCTGAAGTGTACCTGCAGCTGGTTTGATCCCATTTCTGTGTATTTTTTTTCCCAAGGATGCAGTTCTGTGCAAGGTACTCTGACTGTGCCATGCTTGGATCTCAGCAGGATTTAGGGAATAATGAAGGCTGTGGAAGCTTTGCATGTGGCAACAGCTGTGTGAGAGGCTTTGGGGTCAAGCACTGATGTGCTTAAGCAATAGGAGCACAAAAGATGCTGGAAATGGTGTGTGTTGGGTTTTGGGGTTTGCAGGTCCTGTTTGCAGGCCAGCTCTGCTGGGAGCAGCCAGCAGGGAGCAGCACCTTCCCGGGAAACCCTGCAGGATCCCAGGGAGGGTCTGTGGGAAACACGCTGGATCTGAGGGTATGGCCAAGGCAGCTCACACTGCATGTGCTGTGTGAGAAACACGCTGAAAAGTCCTCAAGGATCATCAGACTCTGTGGGCTCTCCTCTCCTTGGTCACAGCTGAAAGCCTCATGCAAAAATATCAGGCAGAAGTAGTCTTAGGTAAAGGATTGGACATGGGACCGTTGGAGTAGGTATTCCTTCTGTTCCCTAAGGAATTTTAGCGTGTATTCATGGACAGCAGGAGGAATTTCCCCATGGAAAGGGTGGTCAGGGGCTGCCCAGGGAGGTTTGGAGGCATCCAAGGAACACCTGGAGGTGGCACTCAGTGCTCGAGTGACAAGGTGGGGATGGACTCAAATCTTTCTGGTCCTGTGATAAAACTACAAAAGAATATTTGTTATTGCACCACCTGTTGCTTATGGAAATGGTAGAACAGCAGAGAAAATTGATAGAAAATTGATGCTTAGGGAAAATGACTCATAGATGTGGTGGTGTTTGCAGGGGTTCCAGGATGGGGGAAGAGATGAGAATCTTGACTCCATGTTTCAGAAGACTGATTTATTATTTTATGATATATTAAAAGACAATGATATATTAAAACTATACTAATAGAACAGAAGAAAGCATTTCATCAGAAAGCTAGCAAGGAATAGAAAGGAATGATGATAAAATCTTGTGGCTCTCAGAGTCTCTGAGACAGCTGGACTGTGATTGGCCATTAATTAAAAACAACCACATGAGACCAATCAAAGATGCACCTGTTGCATCCCACAGCAGCAGATAATCATTGTTTACACTTTGTTTCCGAATGAATAAAGGATAAAGGATTTTTCTAAATGGATAAAGGATTTGTCATAAACCCTGTCTGTGACACGTAGGCATGAACACTTGTAACGCCCCCGTTGTGCTGTGTGCGTTCAGGTGCTGGTCTGAGCGGGCGCCAGGTGCACAGGACTCAGGCTGTGTTCAACCACACGGAGGATTACGTGCTGCTGCCCGACGAGAGAACCATCAGCCTGTGCTGCTGGGACTCGCGCACGGCCGAGCGCCGGAACCTGCTGTCCCTGGGCCACAACAGCATCGTGCGCTGCATCGTGCACTCCCCCACCAACCCCGGCTTCATGACCTGCAGCGACGACTACCGAGCCAGGTTCTGGTACAGGAGATCCACCACGGACTGAGGGCGCTCTGCAGGCGGGGATTCTGTCGGATGTGGCAGGAAAATAGCAAATATTGAGACTTTTCACCCCACGCTAATTTTTTTTATTAGTGTGCGCGGTTTAATTTTTGTAAGTCATCTCTAATTGTACTGAAGGGAGGGGGTGGAGAAGAAAATGGTCCTGGCAGGAAGGGCTAAGCTTGTTCCCCTGCCTGTGAATCACACACAAGATAATGGGACTGTGTCCTGCTCAGAAGGAGCCAGTTCTGCTCTGTGTTGTGTCTGTGCAATCCCTCTGAACTCTGGCAGAGAAGAGATCACACAAAGAGCAGCAGAACTTGGTGTAGAAACTTCAACAAAGCCTTAAGCTGCCTTCAGCCACAATTCATTATTTGTAAAGCTCTGGTTTGTATCTTTCAGTCTGGGGTTTTGGTGAATTCTTTGTGGTTTTTGTTTCTTGGCCGAGTAGGCCTACAGTTCTGAGTTGTGCCATAAGAATTCAAACAGGATTTTAAATTGTTTAGATGAATTCAAGAAATGGTCTTCTAGTTCTCATGTTAAAGTCAGACTTCATCTCATCCTCTTCTGAATTTATCTTAACAAGTGGGACCTCAAAATGAATTCCTAATAGTTTTAAGGAATTATCCACATTGCAATTAAAATGTGACAGTGCTGCTGCAAGTGAAAATAATTTTGCCTTAGAGACCTTTAATATCCTCTCAAAGAAAGAAACCTGTGCATCTGAATTTTTGTATGTGTACCTCAGAAATGTCACTGTTTTCATTGACTGAGAAATCTTCATCTATGTCTTACACAGCACTTCAACTACATTCTTTTTAAATTAGTCACAAACCCAGCACCCATTGTTGAGAAACTGTGCTTAAAACTTCTCTAAGTTGGAAAATTCACTACTTATTCTCCCAGAGATCTGCCTGAGCAGAGCCTTAAACTTGTTCTTTTGAGGCCTCCTCGTGCAGAGCTCTTGGGCATCACAGCTGAGAGGCTCCTTTGGTCAGAGCTCAGCACTTGCCTTTGTGAGGGTTTTGAAATGTGAGGTGGTTCTTGCTGCTGGATTAACTTCCATTACACTGAGGAATTGTCAAGGGCTGGTGAGGGTACAGGTTTTGTCTGTATTTAAATAAAGATTGCCTTTTAAAAAGCTCTTTGATACATAAAGAAGGAATTGTATTTGTTTTCTGTATAACAAAGGAGGAATGGTCAAATATGGGAGGCTGGGGCTTGGGGACTTGGCAGTGATGAATTTGTTGAGTTCCACCTGAATCAGGTGCAATTACAGACTCGAGATGTAGAATGTGGGAGATTCTTATTTAAATACTAAAATTTAATTTTCTCTTGAAAAGCTCCCTCTATGCAGAACATTTCTGAGGCTGAATCCTCTTTGCTCCTCTTCTGCCTCTGTGTTCTGACCCTTCAGAAGCAGTGGTGCTGAGGGATGGTGGTGCTGGTGCCTTTTTGCTGGGGAAACAAGGAGAAGCAGAGCTGGGGGCAGGGAAAGGGAAGTCCTGACACAGTCACTGAGGCGTGATGTGGGATGGGTGACAGCAGTGGCTTTTTTAGTTTTGGAGTGCCACCTTTCTCTTACTTCTGCTAAAGCACCTGTCTGTAATTCATGCACTTGTTACTGGTGTTTGGAATCTGCTTTTACAACCCTCATTTTGTGGTTTATGTGTTAAAGCACCTCTGTGGCTGTGAACTGGGGGAGCTCTCACCTCGAACTTCCGTAGCTCTGGGGGCTTGAACTCACAGTGCAATAGCAAAAAGTTACTTCTTTAACACAAAACCATTCTGCCATTGGCACCCTGCTGCCTTTCCATATCCTGGACATCCTCCTGAGGCCACAAGGTTGTGGGAGAAAGAAGGGCTGGGAAAAACTGAACTAATCCTGTTGAGGGAGAAAATGAAGCCCAGGGTGAAATTCAGTGTGCAAGGCCAGGCTGGATGGGCTCAGAACAACCTGCTCTGCTGGAAGGTGTCCCTGCCCATGGAATGAGGTCCCTAAGGTCCCTAAGGTCCTTTCCAACCCAAAGCATTCCCTGACTCTGGGAACACCATTCCCTGTGTGCCTTGAATTCCTGACAGGCTCCTGCTTCTCATGCAGTGAGAGCTGAGACTGCCTGGGAAGCCGGGAGGAGCTGGCAGTGCCATCCTGCCCTGCTGGGACTGTGGCAGGGCTGCCTTATCAGGGCTGTGCAGCTCCTCTCTGTGCCACAGCCCCGCTCTCACTGCTGCAAAAGAGGAAACAGGAGCAGGGGCAGAGGGCTCACACTTCCCACTGCTGAACTGCGACAAGTTGGTGCAGGAAGACCAAGGAAAATCCCACTTGACGCGGCGTTTTCTTACATTCAGTCACCAAAAGGGCTTTTTTTGGGTTTTATTCTGCCCTCCTGTCATCTTGTGTTGTCTCAGATGCTATCTCACGTGGGAAGCTTGTCTCTCTGCTAGGGGCAGAGCTGTCAGATGGACTTGGCTGAGGGGAGCTCCCCACACGCAGCGCCCGGGCACGGCTCAAGGGTCCCTGGTTCCCTGTGCTGCTCCAAGTGCACAATGACAACCATGGAGAAAAACACAAGGAGCAGCACACCTGCAAAGGTAGGGAAGGGTTTTGGGGTAGGGAAGGGTTTGGTGTTTGAATTCAGTGGGGTTCTTGGTGATGTTGGAGTAGCAGTGATGAGATCCCTCCAGTTCTGGCTCTTCATGGCCAGAGAGACACTGAGGGGCTGGAGCTGTCCAGGGCAGGGAATGGAGCTGGGAAGGGAATGGAGAATCCCTGAGGGAGCTGGAAGGGAATGGAGAATTCCTGAGGAGCTGGGAAGGGAATGGAGAATCCCTGAGGGAGCTGGGAAGGGAATGGAGAATTCCTGAGGGAGCTGGAAGGGAATGGAGAATCCCTGAGGAGCTGGAAGGGAATGGAGAATCCCTGAGGAGCTGGGAAGGGAATGGAGAATCCCTGAGGGAACTGGAAGGGAATGGAGAATTCCTGAGGGAGCTGGAAGGGAATGGAGAATCCCTGAGGGAGCTGGGAAGGGAATGGAGAATCCTTGAGGGAGCTGGGCAGGGGCTGAGCCTGGAGCAAAGGAGGCTCAGGGGGAGCCTTGTGGCTCTGCACAGCTCCTGCCAGGAGGGGACAGGGAACAGGGAACAGGGACAGGAGCAGAGGGAACAGCCTCAGGCTGGGCCAGGGCAGCTCAGGGTGGGCACAGCAGGAATTTCCCCATGGAAAGGGGGTCAGGAACTGGAACTGCCCTGGGAGGAGGTGTTTGGGGTGCCCATCCTGGAGGCGTCCCAGGAATTCCTGGAGGTGGCACTCAGAGCTCTGGGCTGGGGACAGGGTGGGGATCAGGCACAGCTGGGACTCAGTGGTCTCAGAGGTCCCTGCCAAGCTCAGTTCTGTGGCTCTGTGAAGTGTTTGGGCTCCTGTACCTGATGTCCCCTTGTGCTTTTCATGGTGACAAAACCACTGACTGGGAGAAACATCTTCTTGGTGAGGATAAAGCAGAATTGTGCTGGAAATAAGCACATTTGTGAAATTACAAAGATATAATGTCAAGGTTCCACCTCACTGCTGTGCTGCAGTGACATTAGAGACACAGATCCTTTCTCTGCCAGCCCTGGTGCCCTCTTGCATGACATAATTTCTTTATGTTACATGCAGACCAGAAAACATTTTGAAACACTCTCTGTTCCTATTTTGAAAGACAGGACCCAGTGTATAAGGTTTGTTACATTTATTTCTGTATCCACATTCCATCTAGATTAATTTTCTATAGATCAGAGGCCCTGCTGCAGCTGTAAGGGTTGGAGAATGCTGAAATCTTGATTCAAAGTCAATGCCTTGCTGTCCTGCGGTCTGCAAGTCCAATAAGTGTACTGGAATTGGGATTTTCATGGTGGATTATGATCTCAGTGTTTACTGTAAACAAACTGCCTCCTGGAAATTTAATACAAAAAGTAGTGGTGGGGAAAAGCTTAGTAGGAGCTCAATGAGTCATTTTTTTTACACTCCAAATTTTCCATCAAGGCTTGTAAAGATTAGGAGGCAACTTTTCACATTGAGTCATCAGTAACTGAGGCAGGGTATTTTTAATCTCTATATAGAAGAATTTTCTATTTCTACATATATTTCCAGTTCTCTTGGGTGGATTGTCAATAAATCAATGTAATGGTAGCAAACTGCCTGTTCTGCTGTGAGCATTTTAGACATGGCCAGAGCCCACCCAGCCAACTTCAGCTGAGTAATAAAACACCAAAATCATTTCTGCAACATCATCGGTGAACTCTCTATAAGTCCCCTACCACCTTGGCAGTACTGTTTATTATAATACTTGAATTATATAAAAATACAAAGGGTTTTTTTTCTACTCTCTGGACTCCTTGAAGTCTCAGCAGCCTTGCTGTGACAGGAAATGCTCTGCAATGATCCCTGTGCCCCAACTATTGCACCTGCAGGGGAAAGCCCCTGTGAGAGGAGCTCAGTGTCAGCTCAGCCAGGGCTGTTGTTTTGTTTGCTTGTTGTTGTTGCGTATCCAGGGGCAGCACAGGAAGCCTTGCAGCCCTTGCTGCAACCTCAAACCCCTCTGAGCTCCTGCAGTGCCACAGCTTTGGCTGAGGGAAAATGGGAGAGTCTTTGCATGTGCTCCAAGTGGATTTGGGAGAGTCTTTGGATGTGCTCCAAGTGGATTTGGAGTTTTTCTCCCCTAAAATGCCCCGTTCACATCTCCCCTCCTCACCCACAAACACGGGCGTGGGGGTGACAGAGAATCTGAGCCCAGGTGAGAGAGAGCTCCCCTGCCCAGCCCTGGCACCTGGGAGGAGCTGGAGCTGCTGGAGAGGGTCCAGAGGGGGCTCCAGGATGGGCAGAGGGATGGAGCAGAGCTGGGATTGTTCACCTGCACAGGAGAAGCTCTGGGGTGAGCTCAGTGCGGCCTGGAGGAGCCAAGAGCAAAGATGGAGAGAGAGGATTTCCAAGGGATGGAGGGACAGCACCCAGGGAATGGCTTCACACTGACACAGAACAGGTTTGGGTTGGGTATTAGGGAAAAATCCCTCCCTGTGATGGAGCCCCTGGCACAGGAATTGCCAGAGCAGCTGTGGCTGCCCCTGGATCCTGGCAGGGCCCAAGGCCAGGCTGGACAGGGCTGGGAGCACCTGGGACAGGGGGAGGTGTCCCTGCCATGGCAGGGATTCCCTCTGGGGCTCATTCATGGGAACATTTCATTCTATTTGAAAGTAGTTCTGTGGCCACAAGCTGTGGGTTTGTAACTGATACTACCCCATCATTTCAAATGCTGGAGCACCTGAAAAACTCCAGGGCATGAAGTGTCTGAAGGGGTCAAACTGCTGCTCCTGATGTTTAAAAAATAAAAAAGAAAGAAGAGAAAAACCACAAAGGCATTGAAATGGGCTGGTTTGTGCCAGGAACTCTTTCTCCTCTGGACAGCAGCTGGTTTGCTCCCAGCCCAGAGGTGTAGATTTGGTTGATGAAGCTTTTCAATTCAGCATTTTCTATTCAAGATATAAAAGTCTTTTCTAGCTACAGGATTGTGGCTTTGGGAGCCAGTGTCTAATTTAATCTTGAAGCTACTGTGGAAAGAGGAAGGAAGAGGCTTTTACCAGAGAAAAGCCAACGTGTACAAAGGCAAAACCAGTAAAAATTTGCCAACCCCCAAGATATCCTGAGTCCAAAGTGGTAAAACCTGTGCACCAGCACGACCAGGACTCAGCTGTTGCCAAGCAAATAGCAACCAGTAATAATTTTAAACAACATTATACCTTAATAATATTTAAGGATTTTTTAAACAATCCAAGAAACAAAACCCTTCAGCTGCAGATCATGTTTAGCTTTCCTCCTTGGGTTTTCTGCCTCTGCAGGGGGAGGTGGTTTTGCAGGGGATTTATAACCACAAAGGGGATCTGTTCAGTTTTCTAAAGACTGATTAGAAGTGTATCAAAACTCACACCACTTTGAAGTTAAAAAAAACAACAAAAAAAAACTAAACAAACAAAGAGCCAAGCACAACAAACCAGAAGTAAAAAATGCTGCAGCAAAAACGCTTCCAAATGCAGCCCTTTCCTGGTGCAGCCCTGCTGGCCCGGGTTTTGTGCTCAGAGAGGGCAGGCCCTCCCTGCAGGGCAGTCTGTGTGTCCTGCACATCACCAGCTGCAGCCAGGGGCTCCCTGGGGACAGATCTGCCACGTAATGAGCTCCCCCCATTCCCAGAGCTGCTTTCCTGGGGCTCCCAGCAAGCAGGAGGTGGCAGAGGCTGAGCTTTCCCTCTCCAGGCTCCCAGCCAGAGCCTCCAGAGCTGCCTGAGCCACCGGCAGGGCTGGGGACATCCTCCTCCTCCTCCTCCTCCTGCTGCTGCTGCTCAGGTGATGGACTAACAGGGAAACACAGCACAATGAAGGTCAGTGTAAGTACTGGGCTCTTTTCTTTCTGCTGCAGTTGATTTTGTGACTTTCCTGATTCCATTTGTAGTGGACAGAGGGTAAAATCTACATCTGGCGGGGTCTCTTTGCAATGTGTGTGTTCAGCTGATTTGCACATCACCAACAGAGCGTGTGGTCTGAATTTTTTGAAATACAATCCAAATTAACAGTGTCTCAAGAGCACCAGTGTGGCAGAGGGGGGTGAGGGTTTGTTCTGTGTACATTGAGTAATGAAAAGTTTATTAGAAATGATCATGAGTGACTCAGACTGGTCACTTCCACATTCCCTTGGAAAGAAAAAACGAGGTTATGAGTTGAGCAGTGTATTACCTCAAAAGAGATGATGGTTTTGCACTGACTCCTAGAAAATGGGTAATGGAAATGTCTCAAGAATTGAGGTCACTGTGTGATGAGCAAAATGCCAAGTAATTTCAGTCTGAACTCTGTGAGCCTGGGAAAGCCTTTGCACTGGAGGGTAAGGACTGGCCACATCCTGCAGAGCTGCTGTGGCTCTCATTTTTGGGAAATGCTCTTTTCTCCTGGCGTGGGGGCATGAGTGATGGATCAAACCCATTTTGCAGTAGTTTGTGCCTGGTTTTGCCCAGCCCAGGCTGGGCTTTGTGCAGAGCAGGGCTGGGGCTGTGACAAGGGGTGGCTCAGCTGGGCAGGGCAGGGCTGGGCTGTCACCATGTGTCCCCTGCTAATGACAGCCAGGGCCAGAGCCCAGCTGCTGCCCGGACCTGGGGACTCACACCAGGGATTAGCCCAGCTGGAAACCCCTCCCTGCCCAGAGAAATGTGACAATTTCAGTGATACTCACTCAGAAACCATCCACTCCTCAGTTTATTCAATGCATGTCATCCATCTCAGAAACAGGAGCTTTGCAGGGCTGTGCAGGGGGCAGGGTCAGGACTGAAGATTTTGGGGGGTGAGAACAAGATTTGGGGGATAAGGACAGGATTTGGGGATGAGGACAAGATTTGGAGGGTGAGGACAAGGTTTGGGGGATAAGGACAGGATTTGGGGATGAGGACAAGATTTGGAGGGTGAGGACAAGGTTTGGGGGTGAGGACAAGATTTTGGGGGTGAGGACAAGATTTTGGGGGGTGAGGACAAGATTTGGAGGGTGAGGACAAGATTTGGGGGATGAGGACAAGATTTGG